AAGTATTCCCTCCCCACCCCAGGCCAAGTGGCAGAACCAGGTCTTCAAGGCCCTTTGAGAAGGCCAGGAGTGAGGGGGCCAATCGCACCTCCAGGGGCAGAATGTTCCAAAGAGCGGGGGCTAGAGATTATATAGAGATTATATCTCTATTCTGTCAATTCTACCAAAGACTCATGGTGGTTTACAATTGAAACATTCATAATACAAATAATTAAACACTGACAATAAATAAGCTAAGTAAAATCACTCATCGAATCTAAACGTAATTACATTAAGTGATAAAATATTAACAAAACAACAGCTGTTTAAAATAACAATTATGGGAAAGTCAGTCACCAGTGCTGTTCAGAAGAACTCACTCTTTGCATCTTCTAGAAAGACTTCAGAGAAGGACATCAGAAGCTTAATTCGGTAGCCAGCTGGAACATCAAGTGTAAAATATTTATGAAAATCATCTGGCTTTTTAAAGGGCATGTGCCTGTTGCTTGTTCAAAGCCGAGCAATTGACAAAAATATTTCAAACAGATCAACTGGAAATATATTGGATGATTTTTCTAGCATCCAATCAGATGCCTCCTTTGGTGGCTTCCCTTCAATGCCTGGAAGTCACACTATTGCTTTGTAGAGTGTAACCCTGTGCAGTTCCCAAACCTTAATTTATGTGAGATATATTAATTACAATATAGGATTAAAGTCTCCTTGAAAATCATATTAAAATGGCAAGGAGGAGAGTTTCAAGATAATATGGAAAGGGAACATTTTTTTCCAACGTAATATGACTTTTGAGTAAATGAGAAGATTTAACCACAAAGACAGTCTTGCCTCATTTGTGTATACTAATTTATGATTACATAAATTCAAAAGTATCCACCAAAGACATTCTGAGTCCATTTCTGACACCTTTCTGCTCTATAGTCATACAAACTACACTTTTTCACAGCTTTTTCACTCCCTAATAGTCACAAAGAAATCATAAAATAAAAATTCTTCTGTAATACACACACACACTTCCATATACACACATACACTATCATACTGCATATATATCCTAACTCCAAACTTTTTCATCTTTTCATTTTTAAAAAGTGATAAATTTGGCATATTTTTTAAAAAAAATTCTCTGATACAGGATTTATGAAATTCATTGTATATGAAATTTGTTAAGCAAAGATGTGTCACCTAAAGCTAAATCTGAATTTTGTCTTCCATTTCAAAGCAAATTCATTGTACTTTGGAGAATGAAATCAGTTTTGGTATGGTCACCTGCTTTGAAATTATGTGACTATTAGTACTTCTTTACTGCAAATTAATTATTCTTTGCTGTCCATTTGAAAAGTTGCATTGGCTCCATTATTAAAAGTACTGGTTTACATCATAGACTGTATAATGTAGCTTGGAATAAATAAGTTCTGTTTTATAATAAATTATAATAATTCATTATATAAAATGTAATAAATTATAATAAATAATTTCTGTTTTATCTGCAGGACCTAGCACACAACTGGCATAACATAAATGGAAACAGTGCTTGATATTCTCTTCACACTTTTTTACCACGTGTCATTTTAATACCTAAGATACTTCTGTGTCATTGTGTTAGTAACTTATTTTATTTATTCATTTATTCATTTATTCATTTATTTTTAATATAGCCATTGGACTATGAAAATCGAAGGCTATATACTTTGAAAATAGAGGCAGAGAATCTGTATGTTGACCCACGCTTCTATTACCTTGGACCTTTTAAAGATACAACTACTGTGAAAATATCTGTGGAAGATGTGGATGAACCTCCTATATTTAGCAGATCTTCATACCTTTTTGAAATTCATGAAGATATTGAGGTGGGCACCATCATAGGCACTGTAATGGCACGAGATCCAGATTCTGCTGCAGGCCCAATAAGGTAAATACCAGAATCTAAAATATTACAGATTACAGGAAGATGAATTCTTCATATCACTATTTCAGTTCATACTTTTGCTGTGACTGACAAAATGTACAGAAAACTATGAGAAAGTAGAGCATCAAATCACCCATTTAATTTGAGCTTGGTCTAGCCAGAGTTCCCTTTTGAGCCATGTGAGATAATATCGTACAAGTATATAGCAGCTTTACCCAAGTAAGTGGCCACCAGACAATTAATAATGACAACTCCCCATGTTCCCAACCAGCATGGATAATAGGGAAAAATAAATAATTTTGTTCTGTCTGAAGTTCTAAGATCTGTTGTCCCATGATATCTGCAGAGCATCAGATTGGGAAAGGCTGATATACAGAGCATAACTTAATGCCAAACAATGTGACTGAAATTGATCCATAGGTCAGTTTTCCCTGCTTGCTTGCTTGCTTGAAGCAGACATTCATTAACTGACCTGAAACAGGCATTGATAACTGAAGGAAATGTGCCAGAAATTCACATTTGGAATACATCCTTCAATTTAAATGTGAAACTGTCATTTTCCACCTGATGTTTCATTGCTCTAATTGGTTAGCATCTGATTTCACAAAACTCAAATATGAAAGTTCATAAGTTGTTGGAAAATACTGTCATTGCCTGCAAATAAATTCAATCCCATACTAAATATTATATGTCACTCAGTAGTACCTGAAATTCAAACATGATCAATAATAGTCCAGTACTAAAATAATATTGCATGTCACCTATGAAAAACACAGTTATTTAATTCATTATATCAAATATCACAATTCTAATATTAAATTGCTCAATGAATAGTCAAATAATAATTTCACATTAGCTCCATGTCTCTTGTATTTCTTCAAAGCATGATTGTTTTCTTCAATTTTCCCTAATATTTATCACCCAAGAAATAATAAGGTTATTTAACACAACAGCTTTATTACCATCTTACTTGACAATACAGTAAAACCTCAGTTTAATTGATCATTTGTGGGGAAAAGGTGTCCATTAAATCAGAAAGCCCAAATCTATATAATTGACTTAATTTATGTCATTTGTGCAATTCACATGCAAAACTGGAAAAGACTGAGTTTTGTTTCATTCCAAAGTTCTCTTGGCAGCTTAAAACAGAGGATAAAATAGTTAAATAACCATAACAGAACATCATTCAACCATAAAACTTAGTCAGACACTACTCATAAATCCATGCTAGTGTAATATTTTTTGTTAATTTGGAAGCCCTTAATATAAATGTCCTCAGTCCTCATGGGGATGTCCTTTCATAATCTGAGGATGAAAACAACTGCTACTGGAGAAGGGCAAGATATCTGTCCACATTGACTGTTAGGTCTTCTGTTGTAAAAATGAAAGATTAAATAAAAATAAGTAACATAGTTTGAGAACAATATGTTTAGCTATTTCTGTATACTTCATAATTGCTAGAGATATAAAAGCTTATTTTGTCAAAACATTAGTGTCAGTTCCACTGCATTTTTCTGTATGCTCTTGGAGCAGATTTTTACAACTGTGGTAAGATTTTGCCCTTTTGCAAAATACTCTGTAGGTGAAGAACAAAGTAGAAATAGTGATCAAACTGAAAGGAAAAGCTCCCTGTGCATTTTATGCAATTTGCGGCAATAATAGGTGAGGTTCAGAGTAGGACCCATAGGGTTACATTATATCTTTCTAATTAAATATATATATATTTTTTACCAACAGAGGTAATAGGGCTAATAAAGGTAAATTACTGTATTTATCAGAGGGGAGCAAAAGTTGTTATTTGCCTATTAAATTACAATAAGTGATTATTATGCTTCCTGCCAAAACTGTCTTTTTACAGGATGTAGAACAGCACTTGATGCAACAAACTGTTCATGTAAAAAGGAGAGATTAAATATAAGCTCTCTGCAACAATGATAATATATGTATTTATGTTAGCACCATGTATCTTTTCAACATCAGCAAATGATGTAGAAAGTACCTTTTATGCTGACATACTTCACTGCTGCCATATGTTCCTCAGTTAGGGAGCACAGAAAAGCCTGCCTGCATGCTGAACATTCTGTATGTGCTACTGGAAATGTATTAAAGATTTTGAAAAGAGAAAGCTCTTGGTGAAAAAGGCACATGGACCACAGCACTTCAGGTTATACGTAATCAATTTTTATCTTTTGTTCCATCTTCCAGCATCATGGATGGCTTAGTGCATTGCATCCAGCTCTGAATTCCTTTGACAGCTACTGTCTGTGAAGCTGAGAATTGAAAAAACATTATGACCATCTACTGAATGCTCTAATTATAAGGGGTCATTAGGTTTTTTGGTGGGGTGCAAATTTGTCCTTGCTGTCGTGTCTATTTCTAGCCATTGCAACTTAATCTTTATGGATATTGGATTGGATACAAACATTTTCATATTAAGTCCAAGCTGTCAGTTCTAAATATGTTTAAGTCTAGATCTGCCCAATTATCTCAGATTATTTTTTATTGTAGCATAATATGGTATTGTAGCTGTTCTAATTATTGAATCTTGAGTTAAACAGCTTCAGGAATTGTTGTTTTCTTAGGAGCTCAACATTGGACAGGAAGGTAACATGTCCGTGGGGGCCAGGTGTCAAAATCAGCAAGATGGTCAACATTGTGCCATGAGGAAATTTTTGAACATATCTGCATTGTTGCCACACATAAAAAGGAGACAAGATTCTCATTGCAACACTATCTGTCTCTTGCTGATTTTAACTCTCTTTAAATGCTGTTGACAACTGTGTTACTACTCTGAATTAGAATAACTGATAGTCACAAAGATGACTGTGGAATATATGTACTTCTCAACACAAAACTTCTTTTCTTCCTGCCAATCTTTAGGTTTTCTTTAGATCGTCACACTGATCTTGATAGAATCTTCAACATACATTCAGGAAATGGATCTATTTATACTTCTAAGATGCTTGACCGAGAAATATCACAGTGGCACAACCTTAGTGTGATAGCAGCAGAAATCAGTAAGTCCACCACTATTATTTGTGTATATATTTTCTTTATTGTGTCTGGAGAAAAGTATTTTAGCTATATAACACTGTTTTGTTGTCTTCCAGCAAAGGATGCATGTGACAGTCCAGCCTTCCCTAATTTAGCACTATTTAAATATGTTGGGGCTACAGTTCCCTGAATAGCCATAGTGCTACAAGAAAAAAAAAATCTATTAGAAAATAAGTTTTATTTTCTGTTGGAAATGTTGGAAACTACTGAGTCATCTTCATTCCTATCGATAGGAAAGGTAATCTACAATGACATGCCCACAACTTACATTAGGAAGGGATTTTATTCAGCACTGTAGTAGCAAGGTGAATTTCGTCCTGCTGATGAATACATAGTGTTCCTCTGTAGAAATAGCTGTTTTGTGGTATGTGGCCAAAAGAGGGGGGGTTTTTTGTTTGTTTGTTTTGTTTTTGCAAAAGCACCAGAAAAAAATAAGTAGATTTTCCCATCTGATGCTATCTTGATGTGTGGATATCAAAGGCTATGCTGGTTGATGATATAGGGAGGAATTTGGAAACTAGCAGGTTGGGATAGGCTGAAAAAGGGAATCAAACAAGAACATAGTTGTGTCCTTATCCAATTGTCCTTCACTTTATAGAAGCTAATGAAGATAATATCCCAATCAGATATGTTCAGAATGACTTATGATAATGTCATTCCAGGACTAAGAAATTCATAATATCAAGCACATTTTGGAATATAAGATTCCTCTGCCCTAAAACAACAGTCTAAGCATTACCTAGATGAGATACCATAGAGACAACAGACCTGGAGATTGTTACTAGTTCAGTGTTGTTACTAATTCAGTGTCTTCAGAAAGAAAAGTCTTTTCTTATATCTGAAAAGATCTCCACTGCCTTCAAAATAGTTTTATGAAATATGGACGTTCAATATATTTATTTAATTAATGAAATAAATATAGATTGGAGAAGAATGTCAACTATGCATGATACAAAAGAGGTCAATGAATAACATATTGTGATGACATAGGGATGGTTTTCTTTAATGTAAAATGATTTACATATATTTTTTAACTATCTTTCTACTGTCCCTTTCGCTTTCTAACTTTACAAAATGTTTAAGAATATGAGAGCATAACTCAGACACACACTACCAACAAGTAGATGTTTCTGAAAGTAAATGTGCATAAAGTGAATCTATTCTAGTAGGTTTGGATGATACCCAAGATCATAAATACAAATAAAAACATAATAGAAATATATATCTTTGGTATCAGAGGGTCTCTTCATAATGTACCAAGTATCTTCTTTCATGAATTGAGGACTGTATGTTCTCTGCTTACTCCATGTTTCAGACCTTGAATTATATCAGGTTATAACTCTAGCCTTAATCCATTATCTGGATTGTTGGTGTAATTATTATTGTTTTTAATCCTTGTAATAAACATCAGAAGGCATTTCAAAGTTTTTCTTCAAGTACTATGAATAACATAAGTAACTGCTATTGTTAAATTTATAGGAGAAAAGACTATAGATCTCATTTTGCAATTTTATAATGCCAATCCATTGATATGTATAAAAAAGACTACAGATCTCATATATGCAATTTTATAATGCCAATCCATTATCCTTCCTTCCCTTCCTCCCTCATTCCCTCTGCACATATGCGCATATTAACTTAGTTCCTGTACAATTAATATCTGAATTTATTCAAATTGCCATTATATTTTCTAATCAATTTAGAATCTTTCAGCTCACTATAACAACCTGGGCTGATGAGAAGTGTACTTAGCATCAGACAATTTTTGATATATTGATCACAATCAACTGAGTTATAATTTTTTTAAAAACCTAAAAACTGTGAGTAACCATACTCATTCTAGTCCACAGTGATAATATTTTTTTAAAAAATAGACTATATCCAGTTTTAAATTGGATCTAGTGTCGATTGAGTCTCTGACACAGCATCTCAGCATGAACTCATGCTGTTTTTATTCTGTTGATCTGGATCAGAAAAGTTCAACAAACATCCTTGTAGAACTTCATTTCACATTAAAATTCAACAGAA